TTTTTTTTTTTTTTTTCTCTTCTCTTTCTCTTCTCCCATCACAGGGCTTTGGGCCTAGCTTCTGTCTCACTTCTCTGCCTTCCTTACCCCTGCTACCACCTGACCCCTTACCTCTTTTACTGACCTGAGCTCCCAGAGCTTACTCTGTCCACATGGCTTCCTGGGCGTCTCTCCCTGTGTGGCCTTGACACAGGAATTTTTGTTTTGTATCGTGGTTCTTTAACCAGCTTCTCAGGACTAAGAACCTATCTTTATGATCTGTTCTTCTGTCTTCTGCCTATTTATTGATCCATCCTCTGATGCAGAAGATATTTACTAAAGCCTTTTTGCTAGTTGCTAGGAACTTGTTAGTTTTTGGCTGAGCCTTGCTGAGATGGACTGAGTGAGAAGGAAGGAACGTTGGAGGCTGGTGGGGTTTGGGAAGGACTTAGGGCTTGGGCCACTGCTGTATAGACTAGAATCATCTCTCTCCTGCTGCATGAATGGTTCTGGTATGTTCCTGCTCCGCTCTCAGTGGGTTTCGTTAGGAGCATACCAGAAGAGCTGAAATCTGTCCTCTTACCTGGCAGGTGAAAGCAGCCATCACGTATGCCCTCAGTGTGGGCTATCGCCACATTGACTGTGCTGCCGTGTACGGCAATGAGCCTGAGATTGGGGAAGCCCTGGAGGCAAACGTGGGACCAGGCAAGGTGAGGACTGGAGCCGTGGAGAGTGTGGCCTGAGAAAACTAAGGGGCTGGGACCTGGCTGAGGAATCTGGCATCAATCAGCTTCTTTCTAGTTCCTCTCACAGAAGTAAGGGTGGTGAGACTGGGTGCCCTGTGCTCTTCTCATGGTGGGCTTTGCCCCCGTACCAGGTGGTACCTCGGGAGGAGCTGTTTGTGACATCTAAGCTGTGGAACACCAAGCACCACCCCGAGGATGTGGAGCCTGCCCTCAGGAAGACGCTGGCTGACCTCCAGCTGGAGTATCTGGATCTGTACCTGATGCACTGGCCTCATGCCTTTGAGTGAGCTTTGCCAAGATTTTAAGCTGAAATTGGGAATTGGGAGCAATAGTGTTAGTAATTTATGTCACAGTAACACAGGGGGCAAAGGACGAGATGGGCACACTTGGTCCTCCGACACAGGATCCTAGCTTTTGCTGCTACAGCAGCCAGCGGTTTAGCTATAGAAAATGAATACATAGTATGTGTCTCAGAGGTACACAAGTGGTCCCTCCTGCTCCATTATTCATTCAGGAAACGCACTGACCCTTCTGCTGAGCCAGGCCCTGAGGAAGTCCCAGCAGAGGGTGTGAGGAGTCTCCCATCAGCAGGGGGCCCTGTACTAGAATGGCAGATAACTCCCTAAGGAGGGGAAGGAGTTCCAGAAGACTTCCCAGAGGAGAGGAAATACAATCTGGGCCTGCGGAAGAGGGGAGATGGAATGGCCGTTCCATGTAGACTTGAAACTTGGGATACAATCTAGAAGGCAGAAAAGCCGTAGCTGTTCCTAAGTCTTTGCACCTTGCTCTCTGTGGGCTTGTGATCTGGGACATAGGCCCCACGTTTGTGCCCACACTTGGGGGGCGTGTCTCACTCAGGCGGGGAGACAACCCCTTCCCCAAGAATGCTGATGGGACTGTGCGCTATGACTACATCCACTACAAGGAGACATGGAAGGCTCTGGAGGCACTGGTGGCCAAGGGACTGGTCCGAGCGCTGGGCCTGTCCAACTTCAGCAGTCGGCAGATTGATGACATACTTAGTGTGGCCTCTGTGCGCCCAGCTGTCTTGCAGGTGAGTACTGCAGGCAGATCGGTGGTTTAGGGGTGTGTGCCCACAGCACGAGAAATTGGGTGATGGAGCACCTTCACAGAGTGGGCTGGCAAATTGCTAGAAGTGTTGGTATGTAAACCCGCACAAAGGTACCTAAAGGTGGGTGTTGGATCCCTGGGAGAAAAATGAGATCACCAGGGAAAATGGTGAGAAATGTGTTGTGCTTGGGGAGAGGGGGTCAGTGAAGGGCTGGCCCTGGGAGGTGCCAGGCGAGCTAATTGTGGCCACACCATGGTAATGGCTTGTTTCTTGGCTCAGGTGGAAAGCCACCCATACCTAGCTCAGAATGAGCTGATTGCCCACTGCCAAGTGCGTGGCCTGGAGGTGACTGCCTATAGCCCTCTGGGCTCCTCTGATCGTTCTTGGCGTCACCCTGATGAGCCTGTGCTTCTTGAGGAACCAGTAGTCTTGGCACTGGCTGAAAAGTATGGCCGATCTCCAGCTCAGATCTTGCTCAGGTGCGGGGACATTCTTAGGGAACAGGGCTCAGGTTGGGAGGGCCCTGGGTTGGGCGGCCTGGTTTGAGAGATTCTTTATTTAAGTCCCTGAGTGAGGCTAAGAATCTTGCCTTTCGATCTGCTGGGGAGACCACTCTGAGGCTTGTTCCCCATTCCAGTGCGCTCCGTGAGCTTAGGGAAGGCTGTGTGGAGGGCAAGACAAGGTCCCTGAACATTGATTCCTCTTCCTCATTTACCTTCATTCCTTCACCATAGGTGGCAAGTCCAGCGGAAAGTTATCTGCATCCCCAAAAGTGTCACCCCATCTCGTATCCTTCAGAACATCCAGGTACTTCATCACAGATCCTGTCCTCAGCTCACTATGACTCACAGTCTGATTCCAGCTCTGTCTGGCTCAGAAGATAATATTGTGAAACTCCAGCTTCCACTCACAAGGCTGGCTTTCTCGTCCCCTAGGTGTTTGACTTCACCTTTACCCCAGAAGAGATGAAGCAGCTAGATGCCCTCAACAAAAATTGGCGCTACATTGTGCCCATGATTATGGTAAGGGTGTATCACCTCCTAGAGTTGGACTGGCAGGATTTGGAGTGGGATTTTCTTTTGTTTTGTTACTGGAATTTGAACTCAGGACCTTGCACTTGCAAGGCAGGCGGCAGAACCACTGATCTAAAAATCCCTGGCCCTGGAGTGGGATTCTGGCCCAGGTGTGGCCTTAGGCTTGATGGTTGGAGGAGGAATAGGGTAGAATGTTGTTGGTTTTAGATTTCATGATCTCTTTTTTAAGGCAAGGAATTAGTAATAGCTCGGGAATAAGTCATATAGCCTTAGTTCTGCTTCCTGATAGCTTGTATAGATCTTTTTTTACCCCCAGTACTGGGGATCCAGGACCTTCACAATGAGCTATAGCCCCAGCCCTTTTTTATTTTTTAGTTTGCAAAAGGTTAAATTGCCCATGGAGGACTCAAGCTTTTGACCTTCTTGGCTTAGCCTCCCAGAGTGCTGAGACTATTTTTTTTACAGTACTGGGGGGTTGAACCTAGAACCTCACACATGCTAGATAAGCTCTCTATCATCGGTCTGTACATCCCCAGCCTTTTTGTTTTGTTTTGTTTTTTGGTGCCAGGGATCAAACTCAGTCCCCAGCCTTTTAAAAGATTTTATTTTGAACCAGGCATGGTGGCACACGCTTGTAATTCCACACTTGGGAGGCTGAGGCAGGAGGATCACTGTGAGTTTGAGACCAGCCTGGACTACATAGTGAGTTCCAGGTCAGTCTCAACTACTTAGTGAGACCCTGTCTCAAAGCAAAACAAAATAAAAAAAGATTTTATCTTGAGGCACTGTCTCACTAAGTAGCCCAGGTTGCCCTCAAACTTATGATCTACCTGTCTCAGCCTCCTGGATAGCTGAGATTACAGTTATGTGCTATCATCCCCAGCATCAGAAGGTATTTTTGACCTTTTTAGAGGGGCTAGGGTGGAATCTGCTGCACAAAGGGAAATATATAGATCCCCAGCTTAATCCCAGTTATTCTAGGATCAGGGATTTAGCTCAGTGGCACTGTGCCTGCCTTGCAAGCGCAGGGTCCTGAGTTTGATCCCTGGTACTGCAAACTCTACAGACAGGCAGCTGTACCAGGCTATGAGTTTGGCGCCAGATGCCATTGATACCATGGCCTTCTCTGAAGCTGGGGTTCTGGCCCCTGCTGTTTGGTGTAGTACCATATACGTAGGTGGGGCTGTTCAGGAAAATTTGGGGGAAATGCCCCAAGTCTTTGGAACGTCAGCTCCTGTTAATGTAGTCATCTGTCTCTTTCAGAGAGATGGAAAGATGGTCCCGAGAGATGCAGGACACCCTCTCTATCCATTTAATGACCCATACTGAAGAAATCAGCTTCCTGTCTTGCCTTTCACCTCTCTTGCTATGAGGTCCTGCCTGCTTCTCTCCAGAAAAAGCGAGTCAATAAAGCCATTGGAGAATCCACATTGTTTGTTTGACTTGTCTCTGTGGGCCTGGGATGGAAGCTGTTTCCCTTGGGGATGACAGGCATAAACCTTATATGACATGGTCCTGAAGCCCCCCACTTCCTTATCTTCTGTCCTAGAGGGGCCTGCAGGTCGCTGAATTCCCCTTTCAGGTAGCACCATCTAGTGGCCACTTTTAGCATGAACGCTTCCCTACAGTTGTCTTACCAAGAACAAACATTTGTCACCTCAGGATTGAGAGATATGGGCAGTGATAGCGCTATGGTTTCAAGGCAGTGCTGAGCCAAGACCTTCAATTGTCACCCTCCTGTCCTGGTCAGTGCCTAGATTTAAGAGGATGGACAGCCCAAAAACATCCTCAGAAGTTTTGGGGTCACAGCCTGCCAATCATGAAAGGAGAGGACAAGGGTGTTCCTGACAGATCCTGTCACCAGAATGTATAAGCTGCTTGAGGGCAGGGTCAGAGCCAAAGTTGGTCATTCTGCACCCAAGTCCCCACTGGTCAGTAGGCTTCTGTAAGGATTTTGGCAAATAACCAAAACTAGACTGTAAACTCCAGCCCCACAAAACTCATTTTGCTTTCCCAGACAAACCATTATTCTTAATTTGGTGAGTACTTATTGGGTACTTATGGATTAGACACAATGTTGGACCCTTGGTAGAACTATAAGACAAGTCCCTACAGTTAACTTCAGAAACAGACTTTAACATAATTGCATAGTTCAATTACAATTAGAGAAATGCAAGAAGAAAAGCCTCCACTTACTAACCAGCTGAGATGTAAAGGATGAGTAGAGATCAATTAGTTAACAGACTGGACAGCGTTTCATAAAAATTAGAGATCTCTTTTTTGGTTTTTTGAGACAGGGTCTCACTATGTAGTTGCAACTGACCCAGAACTCACTATGTAGCCCAGGCTGGTCTCAAACTCACAGCGATCTTCCTGCCTCAGCCTCCTGAGTGCTGGGATTACAGGTGTGTGCCCCCATATCTGGCAAAAAAATTGGACATTTGAAAAAAAAAACCCAGCGCAGGGATTTAGCTCAGTGGCACCATGACTGCCTTGAAAGTGCAAGGTCCTGAATTTGATACCTGGTACTGGGGGGACAAAAAAGCCAGATGTTGTGGTGGTACAATTCCAACACTTGGGAGGCTGAAGCAGGAGGATCACCACCAGTTATAGGCCAGCCTAAACTGCAGAGCGAGACCCTGTCTTTTTTTTTTTTTTGGTACCAGGGGTTGAACTCTGCACTTGTGAGGCAGGTGGCAGCACCATTGAGCTAAATCCCTGGCCTAAGACCCTGTTTTAAAACAAAAGAAGTGGACAGTTTAGGAAAAAAGCTTTGAAAGAAAGAAAAGCTAGGGGCTGGGGATTTAACTTATTGGTGCTGCCACCTGCCTTGCAAGTACAAGGTCCTACGTTCAATCCCTGGTACAAAAAAAAGAAAAGCTTTGGAAGAAGCTGTTGGAAAATCTAAAATGCCAGGCTAATGGGGTGTTGCGGCTTGGGGCAAAGAAGATGCTTTCTAGGGTGTGGCCAGATGTCATGGAATTTTAGGCTCATGGTTTCTGGGTTTCCTGTTTGGGCAGGGGTCAGTGTTGACCCCTTTTGTCACTTACACCCATTTTTTTTTAATACTGGAGATTGGACTCAGGACCTTGAGCTTTCAAGGCAGGCCCATGCCACTGAGCTAAATCCCCCTGCCGTATCTATACCAATTTCTTACAAAATGAGCTGCACAGTCTCCTTGGCCCTATAAGAAAAAAGGCCCCAATTCCACTAGCATTTTGTACCTATATCTTTAAAGCTCGAAGCTGCTTTTCGTCCCTACCTGAAAGCTGCAGGGGTTAATAGCAGTTTTCATTTTTAGCTTCCTTGTGATGCGTTCAAATGGGAATGTTGTTTAAGGTGGGTGCTGGGAGTTGAACCAGTGGGAGGTGTGTCTCATGTCTGAAGAATTTTCCCTTTTCTTAATATTGGTAATGAGAAGCTTGTGCTTACTTCGGCAGCACATATACTAAAATTAGTATTGTGAAGCTAAGGCAGAAGGATTGAAAGTTTGAGCCTACCCTGGGCAATTTAGCAATTTAGTAATACCTTATGTCAAAATACCACAAAAATGCTAGGGGTGGTACACATTTTTTATCTCAGTTTTGTTTGTTTTGGTACCTGGGATTTAACTGGGGACCTTGCTGGCAGGCTGGAACCACTGAGCTAAATGCCTGACCCTTATCTCAGTTTGTTTCTTTGTTTGGTACTGGTAATCCAACTCATGGCCAGGCAAGCACTGTGCCCCTGAGCTACAACCCTGGCCCTTATCCCAGTTTCTGAGAGGCTGAGGCAGGAGGATTGCTGTATATTCCGGTCCAGGCTGGGCTAGAGTGAGTTCAAGGCCATCCCAAACTACATATATAGACCCTGCCTCAAAAAATCAAAAATCAAAACAAAAAGATGAGAACGTCAGATTTCAAAAGAGAATGTTTAATGGGTAGGGGATTTAGCTCAGTGGTTCCCCACCTGCCTCACAAGCAGGGTCCCAAGTTTAATCCCTGGTGCAAACAACAACAACAACAACAACAAACAAACAAAAAAGAGGATGTTAAAAATATAGTAGATTAGCCCAGTGTGGTGGTGCACACCTGTAATCCCAGCACTTGGGAGGCTGAGGCAGGAGGATTGCTGTGAGTTTGAGACCAGCCTCGGCTACATAGTGAGTTCCAGGTGAGTCTCAACTACATAGTGAGACCCTGTCTCAAAAAA